GCTGCTGCTGCTGGCCTCCCCTGCCGCCACGCCCCTCCTTGGGGCCTAACCGTCGACGGTACAGGCTGTGTGGCCAGCCTCTGGTCTGGACGGGGGGCGACTGGAGGGGGTGGTGATGGTGGTGGTTGGCTAGGCTTACTAAACGGACCGGTTTGCCAGCAGCAGCGCCACCGCCGCGCGCCTAGAGCCTCGCGGCCGCCGCGCCTCGGCAACGAGTTCTAGCAGCGCCGTGCTGATTTAGGCCCCGCCCCTCCCCGCCGAGTGTCGATGGCCGCGCCGTCACGCCCAGCTCCGCCGAGTGCTGTCGGCTCGCTCTGCTTGGCCTGCCTCCTCCCTCTCACCTCCCTTTACCCCCCTCGCCCCGTGGCCTCGCGATATCGTCAGCGCCACTCCAAGAAAAGTCCAAGATATACTCGTCTCGCTGAATGTAGTGGTGACTGGTACGATATGCCAGTGCGTTGGACCGAACTTCTAGTATCACTTTTCATGCACTCCAAACCTATTCACTGCTTGACGAATATCTGACCTGCCTCGCGGTTGACGCGTTGATCGCGTCAACGTTTTTCGTTGTTATCCTGGCCATATCGGCGCTCTGTACGTTCAGCATAGCCCCCCTCCCACCCTCCCTCCCCTCCCTTTCATTTCATCCCCTTCCGAACGCTGAAAGCCCTCGTCTGGCGCCGGCGCGGTGCTCGCCGCGGCGCTGTGTGTTTCTAGAGGCCATATGGCGCGGCCGGGGCGGGGCTGGGCGTTGTGCGTTTAGAGGGAGCCTGGGCCCCGATAAGACTTTTGTGGAGATTGTGGAAAATATTTGCTTGCGTCAAAAGCGGGCGAGGAGGCGGGGCATGAGGGGAGAGGCTGGGGTGTGAGGGGGGTGAAAGGCATGGTTTTCATTTCTTCCTCTCTCGCTCCCTCCCTTCGTTTCGCTCTCTCTCTCTCTCCTCCCTCGCCCCCTCTCTCTCTCCGCTGCTGATGCGGCCAGCTCACGAGTGATACGAGCGCGCGGCGCAGTAAGGGCTCATGAATTGGAGATGGGCCGTACAAGTGTGTTGTATGCAAGAAGCCAGTGAGGAAAAAAGAACCTCGTGTGTGTGTGTATGTGTGCTGCGCTGTCTAGGAGGCGGGAGGCGTGTAGATTCCTGATACGGAGGACACTTCCGGTGCGCGAAGGCCCGGCGGCGAGGTCCTGCTGCCTCATTGCAGGACAAAGAGTGCCTAAAGTCGGCTTTGAGCGACCATTGAGCAGTCACGGCCACACGGAAGCTCTCTCTTCACACACAAGAGGAACTACCCCCTCAAAACCGCGCACATTCCGAAATTATACGCCCCTTTTAGCGAATCTTTTTGAAAGTCGGGGACAAAATGTGCCCGGCTTTAAACACTTTCCTGTGTGGTTTGTCGACGCCCCCTTCTTCTCTCTTCGACCCTGCTCGCTGCCCTGACTCGTAAAAGTGATGCACGAAGTGCCGCGCGCCAGGGCCACGCCCCGCCGTGTGCGGGCGCGTGCCAGGCACGGCAGGGGCACGGTGAAAGCGGGGAGAGGGGGTGGGGGGCGTATGCTGCACCAGCTGCACCACCACCTCCACCACCAGCGGCGGCGCCGTCCTGGAGTTACGGGTGGGAATGGGCTGTCGGGATCACCACGATGACGACGTCCTCTGCTGGGGCCGTGTCCGTCTGTCCGTGTGTGCCCTCGGTGATGTGAACGTCCTGCAGGCTATCGTCCCCGACCTCACCACGATGATGCACTGGGAGTACCTGGGAAGCCTGCTGCTGGCTTTACAGTCGCGAGAGAACCAAAAGACGTCAATTTTAACCGTTATCACGAGCGGAGACGGCTTCAATCGCCATCGTTCCGAGCGACATGTGCGGAGCACAGCACATGCCCCAGACCGCCCCGCCCCACCCGCCTCTGCTCTGATAAGCCTGCTGGTGGTGTGTCACCACCACCACCACACCACACGGTGACCCGCCGGACGGCCGTTGCCTCACGTCCCTCTTTTCGGACGACCTTTGGTCTCGTGAAAGCTGCACGATTGATTTGCAAACCGTCGGAAAATGTCGGGGGGAGGGGGCGTACGGTGGGGCACCGACCAGCCGTGGTGGCAGGTCGGCGTGGTGGCCGTGAAGGGGTTTTATTAGCTTTCCTCACAACCTCCTCCCCTCGCCCG